ACTATTTGTATGGTAATCTGCCCTTCCACAAGATTCAAGTCAAGTTTTATGGCCCTGGCCCGGGATGAATGTCTGGTGCCAAGATTATCCCAAAATGCATCTTATGGATGAGGGGCCTGGTGCCATTCTGAGTTTTTAAGACATTCCTTTCTTTTCATTAACAGACTGCTAGTGACTATATAACATCCAGCTGAAGACTAGCAGAGGGGGTACTCTTTCTGCCCCCTTCTGATGCCTATGTCAGAAGCTTTCTCTATCTCTTATACTTTAATAAAACTTTATTACACAAAAGCCCTGAGTGATCCAGCCTCGTCTCTTGCCCAGGATTAAATTCTTCTCCTCTGGAGGCCAAGAATCCCAGCGTCTTTTCGTTCAGCAACCTTTCACTGCTACAAGCTGAGTGCTGAATGCATAGTAGACAAGGACGGTGATGATTTATTAAGCTTTCTGAAGGCCATGACCATGTTATTTGTTGTTCTTTTTCTCCCCACCCAACTACCCTAAAGAGGTGCCAGGCACCCGGCGGGTCTTTGACTACTTGTGCTAACAGCCTCTGGTCACTGTGCTGGTGTCTGCTGGCAAGGCCCCCATCTCCTCTCTCCTCTGAGGCCTATCTGGGACTAGGGTTCCAGCTCGTGTCCTCCTGGTCCTAGTCACCTGCACTCCAGCATCTCTGGCCCACAGATTTGCCAGCTCCTCACCACGTCTTCAAGAGGGAGCCCCTGGTGAAGGGCTGAGCTGAGCAGGGGGCCGAGCACCCACCCAAGATGGGTTTTGTCCCCACTGGCTGCTCAGTACTGACTCACGTCCCACCCTGCTTACATTCATCGTGAGCTCACGCAAGCTGACGCCAATGAAATCCCCAGGTGGAAATTCCATCAGTGTCCTGGCCCTCAACCACTTAAGTCAGTTTTGGGAACGCAAGGCAAAAAGAATGTCTAGGGCCAAACTCCCAGAGCCTTGAGGGTTGGCTCTCCCAACAGAGGCACTAATGCCACACATCTGTGCAAACACATCAGCTCGCCATGCACTTCTACAGCAGTGGCTCGTTTCTGCCTCCCCACCACCCTTGACCATGGGGACTACTGTCCCTGTTCTGCAAGACAAGAAGACTGACACTGGGTGGGGCAGAACAGGAACCAGTCTCAAACCAAATCCAATGCTCCTTATACGGCTGTGCCTCAGCTTACAGACAGGCACATGTGGATCGTGCTGGACTATAATTACATTTACCTATCTGTGCTCCTGTGGGCAGGCATAGGGTGAGATTCACTTTTCGGTCTTGGAAGCTGATTGCTAGGCCTGGCACAGAGCAGGTACTATATGAAGATATACCAGGCACTTAGAATAATGCCACCTCACCAAAGGACAACTCTCAGTCTTTCCACTGCCTCCTCAACTCTCATCTGCTCAGTCACCCTACAGGATCAGCAGGTTGGATGGCATGGTATCTACTGTACGCCTGCCTAGAGACCCAGAGAGGTTCGGTGATCTGCCCAGAGTCACAGAGCCAGTGAGGTCAGAGGCTGGACTCAGGATCCAGGCGTTCTGACACCCGGTGCCTACGCTCCTCCATGACGTCATCCCTGGAGGACAATCCGCAGAGAAATGGACAAGGCTCCCAATACTATTTTCTCCATTGTGAAGCTTGGCAGGTTCCCTTTGGTCTGAGGCATGTGCCCCCACACGGGCAGGCAGTATGGGGCAGAGGAAGTGGCTTTTGCAGTCAGGCACACTGGGCTCCACCCCACCGAACCTCACCTGCTAGGAGGCCTGTGTGTGTCTTCATCTGCAACCTGCTGAGAAGCCTGGTGCTGTTCCCACAAGGTCACCGATGATTATGAGGAAGGCTCAGCTCCGGGCCTGGCACACGCTGGTGCTCACTGCATGTGGGTTCCTGCCCCACCCCCTGACCGGCGGGTGATTTCAGAGACCAGGGAAGAAAAAGGAGCAGTGACACCAGCAGATCTGAAAGCAAGGTAGGGGCAGAGGATAGAGGAGACTTCAACATGGATTCTTCCTGGATTCTCAGTGCACCCTGCAGGGCTTCACTCGGGCTACAAGTGCTCTGCCAGCGAGCTGATAAGGGAGTGTGGAAATACCGCAGAGGCTGAAGGAGGCTGAAGCAGGTGCGTCACCGCTGACAGAATGAGAACAGGTGAGACTCAGCAGCTACCCCTGGGTGGGTGGCTGTCTTCCCCTCCCTCTCCCCTTGGCCTTACCCAGGTCAGGTTCAAGAGGCCTCCTGGCCAGGACTGCTACAACAGCCTCATTCCTGGCCCTCTGCCTCCAACTGCCAGCCTTGCTGGGCACCAGAGTACCATCTAGACAGACCAGGACTGCATCACTGCTCCTGCTTTAAAACCTCTCCTGCCAAGACAGCTTACCCGTCCAGGGGCCTGTCTTTCTCCTCGGGCCCCACATCTTTGCACAGGATGTCCCCTTCAGTGAAGGCGACAGAGACACCCTTTTCTTTGTCCTCCATGCAAATTCTCACTCATTTGATTCAAAAGTCACCTCCTCTGGGAGGTCTTCCCAGTCTAACTCACCCTTCATCCAGTAAAGGTCACTCTTCTACTGGGCCACCCCTGTCAAGGTTCAACACACTTTGTGATGTGTGGCCATCTCCAAATCTGATGGTCCAGCTGCTCTCCTGCGTGGACCTGGCCATGTGAAGTGGATAAGCCAGATGGGAGAAATGTCCTGGGCAAAAAGCTTCCCTCTGCTAGGAGAGGGTACCAGTTGGTCCAAGCTTGTAGGATACTTTGGGCTTTTGCCAGGTGGTGAACTAAGGTTTAGGACCCATAGTAGATACTGGCTCTGCCTTGTACTGTTAGCAGTTCAACAGATGTCTGCACAATGTAATACAGGCCACAAACCTCTTCTCATTTTATTAGCACAGGTAGTTTGTCATCCTATTTAACATCCATAACAGTCAGTGAGACCAGAATTACCATCCTCATTTGAAAGATGAGGAGACTGAGAATCAGAGAGATAGTCACTCGCCCAAGGTCACAGAGCTAGGAAGCAATGAAGTGAGTGAAAATCTCCTTCTGACTCTAGAAGGCTGGAGCACTCAAGCCTCCAGACTGGCTTCCCAGGCTCCAGCGCCACCCACGAGCCAGAGGACGCTTTCTTAGAATTACCAACCCCACCCTATCATGCTAGCTTAAAAAACCCTCCAGCAGCTCTCCACTGGCATTCAAGGCCCTTATCTGTGGCCCCTGCAGTCCCTCCCAGCCTCAGGTTGAATTCCATCCCTTCCTCCCCAGTCTTGCATCTGGCAGCCCACAATGCTGGCCATCCCTGTGCTGTTTCAGGACACACAAGAGTCATGCAGTGCAGTTCCCTTGGGGGGGGGGCGATTTTCTGCCTCCTTCCCCAGTGTATTCCCCCCCACTTCCCCATTCTGCTGCTTTTCAGCCTTCCTGACTCTTCCAGGGACTCCAGGAAGGCCTTAATCTTTACATAACTTCACAGCCACCTCCCCCCTCCCTCTTCAAAAGAGTAAATTAGTGCCAAGTCAGAAGGGAAGTGTTAAATATTAAATATGTCTCCAGGTTCTAGGGTCTCAACCAGTCAGCCACAATAGGAAGGCAAGAAAGAGGCTATCAGCAACCCCTTTTCCAGCAGGGAAACTGAGGCTCAAAGAGGGAAAGGAAAGCGCCCACAGTTGCTTCCTTCCAAGGTGAGTGGCTTGCACCCACGCTTCACATCTGCAGGACCTAGCAAAATTCTAGGTTAAAGACTGGCAAGGGGTGGGGGAGGGAGGGGGGTTGTTGGCTTTATCTTTGCCACCCAGGATCAAAAAGGAGGCTCCCGGCAGTCTGAGCCCTCCCTCTCAGATCAGACCTCAACTCTGCAAGTCTGGACTTATCGAAGGGTAGAGTAGGCAGGGAGGATCAGAAGCTCCTGAGTCACCTCCTCTGCCAGGCAAGTGTGTGTGGGCACTGCACTCTGGCCGTCCTTGGCTGCGCTACTTATCCCCACCGCGGGCTCTGTACCGCGAGGGAGTTCTCACCCCATCCAGGATAGGGGGAGTGCGGCTCAGAGAGGTTAAGCAACTTGCCTAGTGCCAAACTGTGGGCCAGTGGATGTCCCATTCGAAACTAGAGCGTGCAAGGTTCCTACGGCCTGCAGCCCAGCTGGAAGGCCCGGGAGCCGTCATCACCTTCTCACCTTTGGGACTAGAGGGTTCAAGCCCCTCACCCTAGGGGCGGGATGCAAACCGAGTGCGGATCTCAAAGCCAAGGAGCGGGAGGAGGGGGAGTGGGGCCCCAGGGGCTGGCCTCTCCGCCAAACAGACAAGTTTCTCTCGGTCACATACACTCTCCAAGAAGCGTGGGGCGGGCCACACCAGGTGCCCGTTCCTCTCCTCTCTTTAGCCCCCAAGTAGGGGGCCAGTATCCGCTGCTTACCTCTCTTCTCCCAGCCGCTTCGCCTGGGGTGTCCGGCACGCTCTGCCCAGCCTTGGCTCGGGTCAGTCTTCAGGCGCTGCCGATCCCCCCACCCACCCATCCTATTCCATCCCCTCTCGGCTCTAAAGACCCCTGAGGTGAAGGAAGGAAGGAATGCCAGCGCCCTCCCGCCCCCCGGCACGGGATGCAGCTGGGAGGAGGAAGGCGGAGAAAAGTTTGAAGCTAAGTCGGCCCGGGTGGACTGCAGGGGAGCGAGGAGTTGGGGCGGTGTCTGGCTCTCGGCGCGCACAGACTCCGCGGACACCCAACCCAGACACGTCGACAGGCACAGACCACGTACGCGGACACAACGATGCGCCCACCCACACCCACAACCAAACGCGGGCCCCCACCCGGGTCCTTGCCCCCTTCCCCAAATCACGGACACACAAAGGCACGGGCAGATGCATGTCCCCGGACCAAATTCACAAAGACCCACAAACGCACGTGTCCGCACAAAGACCCCAGAGGCGCCGGCCGACGCCCACGGCCCCGGGTCAGAGCCTTTGTCTCCTGGAAGCCCCCCTTCTAGGTCCGGGTTCCTCACTCTGGCCGAGCCCCGGGCGTCAGGCGGCCGCTACCGACGCCCTGGGTCCGGGAAAAGTTGAGGGGCCCCGGCCCCGCCCCTGCGTCCAGCGCGGCTCGCCCGCCGGATGGAGCGGCGAGGCTGGGGTAGGGGCCTCCGGCCCTTCGCCCGCAGCGCGAACTCCCGCTCTGCCCGGGTATCCTCACCCACCTGGAAGCCTGCACCACAGCCGCCTCGGCACGCTCACCCAGGCGGCCCGGCGGCAGGCCCTCCGGCCGGCGCTTTTCTCGGCTCGGCGCGGCCCGCCCCCCGGCCCCCGCCCGCCGTAGGGCGCTCCCCCGCCCGCCCGGCGCCCAGTGGTGGCTCGGGCCGGCCGCCCGCGACTTAGGGAGTGTCGCTAAAGTGCTGGCCTTTCCCGGCGCGCTCCCCACTCCGCGCCCCCGCCCGCCGGCAAAGCCGGTGCCTAGGCCGGGTTCCACCCTAGGGAGCGTCTCAAAAGTGCGCATGCAGCTCCCGCCCACTCTAGCAGGCGTTGCTCCTAGCTTTCTGCATCCCCGGGTCCCTGCCCGCTTCCCCGGAGCGCCTGAGCCTTCTTAGCAGATGGCCGCTCGATCGGGAACATCTGGAGGTCGCTGGAGTGTGTGTATGTGTGTGGAGAGAGAGAGAGAGAGAGAGATGTTTTGTTAAGAAAGAGATTGGGTGGTGAGGGTTCCCTCTTCTCGAGTTCATTCCCCCGCCCCCCGGCCCCCGGTTCCCCAGTTTTTTAAAACGGGTGAAAGGTGAGAGGGAGTCCAAGAATCTGAAGCAGGGAAAGACTGGCTGAAAGACAAATCGACAGAGAGACAGTCAGGCTTAGGCAGAAAAGCTGGCAAGAGAGGAGAGAGAGAGGGAAACAATTTTTTTTTCCTTTTTTCTTTTCCTGGAGGGAACCATCGACTTCTGGTTAGATTTCTAAGAAGGAAAACTGGGAACAGTTTAAATCTATTCCTCCCTCTGCAGCCCATCCTCTCTCACCCTATCTTATGATAAAAAGTGCAGAAAAGCATCCAAGAAACCTTTTCCACTTGGGAGTTGGGGGAAAGAAATTGCCTGTTGGATGCATTCCCTACAAGGAGTGTGTGTGTGTTTGGTTGGGGGGCTTGATTTTGTGTCTCCCTGCATGCCCAGACACTCTGGGGTTGAAGGAGGTGTTAGTTCTCAGGCACCCCAGAAGTATGTGGCCTGGGGACTGAGAGAGGTTTTGGCCTTGAACCCTGGACCTCCCAGGAGCTTTCCTGCTGTGTAGAGATTGGGCAGTGTTCCCTTTACAGTAGCCCAGACTTGCACACCCAGTCTTATTGTTCCTTTTAATTAAAAAAAAAAATTTGCTTGGGCTTCTGAGTCTGTGTCTGCCTGTCTGCCTGGGGAAGGAGAGAGACAAGTAAGGAGATGGGGAGGGAGGAGTAGAGGCCACTACCCCAGGCCTCAGGGCAGCAAAAACAAATCCGCTTCCCAGAGAACAAAGTGCTCTTGCAGGTCCTCATTGGCACTAGTCTGTGTGGTTGCATGGTGGTGGTGCTGACTCTGCTCCCCTGGGATGGCGAGGCCTGGGGGCCCTGGCAGTTAGGGAGATGCAAGGAGAAGGCTGGGAGCCTAGTCCTACCAGTCTGGGACAGGGAAAGCTCCCCTCCCTCCTTTCTACCTCTTATTGTCCTCCCCTCATTAGAATCCCAGCTTCTAGAACTGGGAGGCCACCAGCTCAGACATCTCATCACACTGTCTTTGAAATTGTACCATAGTCCTCTTTGCACCGTCTTCTCACAGTTGTGCTTAATAAGGACGCTGTTGACATTCAACTCTGCATCCCCTAGTGGTTCTCTGTGCATCCTGGAGCCCTCAAGAAGGGTCAGAGACCGTCCCACTCCTTCTTCTGGGCCTGGAGGTGGGAGAGACCTGCCAGTTCGTGCCTGGTGAGAGCCCCCATCTTGGATAGGGTTCAGGTTCCAGCCCTGGCACTTAACAAGCTCTGGGTTATTTTAGGGAAGTTACCTAACCTCTCTGAGTTTCTGCAGCTGTAATAGAGCTGTTGTGAGGAGTAAACAGTAACTTAGTAAGGCTTTAGTCTGGCTGATAGGAAGTGCCATTGTGGGTTGTTATTACCGTTATTATTAAACCAAGTTGTCTCTGATCAGGGATGGTGTGTGTAGTCTGGAAAGCTGAGCTGGCTTGGGAGGGGAGAAGCCAGGGGAATGGTCACTTGACCCTCTGCTCATCTAGCCCACCTGCTGGCCATCTCCTGCCCTCCTGTGGGGGAGGGAGCCATCTTTCAAAGGACCCCTCCCCCTCAACCTTTGCCCTGTGCTGGAGAACTTGCATCCTCCCCTCCCTTAATGTGGAGTTCTGGGGTGAGGCTCAGGCTCAGCATTTGACAAAGGAGATAAACACTAACTCTAACTCCCACTGCCCTTCCTCTGCAGGCTCTAACCTCAGAGGCTGGAGGCTCTACACCCCTCCAAAGGGCCTCTCACTTAACAGAAGCATAACAAACCACCTTCACACCTTGGCCGTAGGCTGGCGGCAGTTTCAGTGTACTGTTACATTCATCATTTCCCTTGCTTGATCTTTTCTCAGTGGGAGGTGGCCTCTGGAGACTTTGGATTGGTCATCTCCACCAGCCCTCTCCCCTTCCCCCCACAATGGTCCTTTGGCCTCCAGGCTCCTCCTCCTGTCTGCTGTTCATGCTGCAGTAAAAATGACCTTTTGAAACTGCAAATCTGCAAAATGGATCAGGACGCTTGCCCCCTTAAAACCTTTCAATGGCACAAGTCAAACTCCTTGGCTTCAGATTCAAGGCCCATGTAATATGCTCCCCTGGATGCTTCCTTTTCACTTCTGGTTGCTCCCCTTTTACACATCCCAAGCTCCAGTCCTCTGAGTCACATGGAACTAGAGGGAGAGAGGGAAGGAAGGGCCTCTGAATTCTTCAAATCTCTGTCCAAATTTCCCTCACACAGAAACTCAATGCCTGGTGAATTTGGTCCCTCCTTCTATTATGTTGCTACACCCTTTGCACATATGCACTATCACTTTCCCCATTCTCTTCCCTTTCTTGTGCTCACATTGTTGCCAAAATCTTGACCCCCTTTCACCCAGTGCTGAATAAAAAAAGTGTGGAGACAGAGTTTGGAAGAAATAGAGAGATGGCTTCATCTTTGCCTGGCAAAGGGGAGTACACAGAGGGCTAGTGCCTCAAGAACTGTGCCCTGCTTCTATGGGGAACAGGGAGAGATTTTATATCCTCACGAAAGTCTTGTATATAATTTTTTTTCTGCAAGTTTACAGCCAAAAGCTGGCATCAGGTAGCTCAACCACTGGTTCTGGTGTCTCTGAAGTTATTGACTGTGAGCTTCTTCCTTTGGAGATGCAGAATCCTACAAGGGAGTGTAGGGGGAGAAGAACGCCAGCTGTAGAATATAATTTATACAGAGTCAGAGAGTAATTAGTTTTGTGAAGGACAAGACCAGCTACAAGCGTTTGTTAGTAGTAACAGCTAAAGAATAACCAAGACTGTTTAACTCTTGCAGTTCTGTTTCGCTGGTGTGTATGAAAGGCTGTTCACTCATTACTGTTTTTGCTGCAACAGTTCTGGCTGTTATCCCACGCCAGGGACTGTGCTGGATACTTTTACAGTTATTACATCATTTAATTCCTGTAACAGCCACCCTAGATTGATAGTGATGAGGCCCAGAGAGGGTAAGAGATCTGTCTTGGGTTACACAGTATGTTTTCTGCAGAGCTGGAACAATATTTAGGACTCTAGTGTTCTTTCTACTATCTTACAATCAACACAAGAAGCAGAATGTGGTGTGGTAGAGAGGCCTTGGCACCTAAGAGTCCCAGGTGGAAATCATTGCTCTGTCCCCGGCTACCTGTTGACCTTGGGCTAGTCACTCTTTCCCCCTGAGAATCAGATTCCTAACCTGTAAGATGAGAATAAATAAGAAACTATACCTCACAGGAACTAAAGTGCCTCTTGATGAGGGTGAAAGAGTAGAGTGAAAAAGCTGACTTAAAACTCAGCATTCAGAAAGCAAAGATCATGGCATCTGGTCCCATCACTTCATGGCAAATAGATGGGGAAACAATGGAAACAGTGACACTTTATTTTCTTAGGCTCCAAAATGACTGCAGCCATGAAATTAAAAGACTTGCTCCTTAGAAGAAAAGCTTTGACAAACCTAGACAGCGTATTAAAAAGCAGAGACATTACTTTTCCAACAAAGTCAAAACTATGGTTTTTTCTAGTAGTCATGTATGGATGTGAGAGTTGGACCATAAAGAAGGCTGAGCACTGAAGAATTGATGCTTTTGAACTGTGGTGTTGGAGAAGACTCTTGAGAGTCCCTTGGACTGCAAGGAGATCAAACCAGTTAATCCTAAAGGAAATCCACCCTGAATATTCACTGGAAGGACTGATGCTAAAGTTGAAGCTTCGATACTTCGGCCACCTGATGCAAAGAGCCAACTCATTAGAAAAGACTCTATGCTGGGAAAGATTCTAGACAGGAGGAGAAAGGGATGACAGAGGATGAGATGGTTGGATGGTATCATTGACTCAGTGGACATGAGTTTGAGCGATCTCCAGGAGATGGAGAAGCACAGGGAAGCCTGGCGTGCTGCAGTCCATGGGGTCACAAAGAGTCAGACACGACTGAGTGACTGAACAACAACCTTACAGGGATATGGAGAGGTTCAAATATGTTGTAAGTTGTAGGGTTTGATGTACTTTTCCTGACCAGACATACTTCAATTGGGGGTATTGGCTGAGGATCTCTTTTCTCTCAGAACTCTCCAGATTAGAGATCAAAGGCCCCATTAGCCCCTTTGGCTACCTTGCTTATTTCCCACATTTTGAGAATGCCAAAAGGTCTTTCTTTTTTTCTCTTTTATCAAAGCTGTCAAACCCCGACCAGAAAAACCATCCACATCCAATATATTTCCATGAAGCTCCAGTGCCTAGTGCTTAGTCGCTCAGTTGTGTCCGACGCTTTGCAACCCCATGGACGGCAGCACACCAGGCTCCTCTGTCCTGGGGATTTTCCAGGCAAGAATACTGGAGGGAGTTGCCATTTTCTTCTCCAGGGGATCTTTCCAACCTAGGGATCGAACCCAGGTATCCCACATTGCAGGCAGATGCTTTACCAACTAAGCCACCAGAGAAGCCCATGAAGCTCCAGGATCTCTGGCCATTCTTCTTGCTGTGTTTTCTCCTTTCCAGTTGTCAGAAAGTTAACAGAGCATCAAGACCTTGTGAAGAAATAATGGAAAAGAAGAGCTGGAAGAAAAATAATGTCAGTTCAACCTCCTGATTCTGTAGGTCTGGGTTAGCCTGCCGTAGGTTGTTTTTTTTTAATTAATTCATTCATTTATTTTCAATTTTTGACTGTGCTGGGTCTTTGATGCGATGCAGGGGCTTTCTCTAGTTGCGGAGAGCGAGGGCTACTCTTCCTTGCGGTGAGCAGGCTTC